TGGGCAAAGCTTCGACCGTGGGGTATCGCGCTCTACGTACAAACTATCCGTTTTGCAACCACGCTAACCAAGTAACAATATGGCTGTTAAACGTTGCAACTCGCATCGACGGAGTTGAAACGCTCGAGTATGCAGGCACCCCCTGAATGGGTTACCGGATGCACACCTGCAATCAGTGCAGGTTGCGATACCTCGGGCGCGCACCGTCAAGTGCGTTACTTTGAACAGTTCCTTCGTTCGAGGCTATCGTGCCGATCTATCGGTAATTAATAGTACAGAACAATCGTAGATAGACGGAAGAGTTGCTTCCCCTCTTCAAAATATCAACCGTACCTTCGGGCGATATTTAACGAGAATACGTCGTCATTTAAATTCAATTAACCAGCCGTCTCTTTCTATCTCTTTGCACGTTTCACAGTCTGTCACGCTTGCTCTTACGGTCTCTCCCTGGCTGCGGCTTCGTCGTCGTCGTGCTCGCTCGATTTCGCGAGGGCAATCGTCGAGGTCCAGCAAGCAAACCGCGACGATTGCCTCACACCGATACGCCAGTTTTTCCGTTCAATTCGAAAATGCTCTGTAGCAATACTGTTAGCACAGTCCCGTGAAAAGATCGGTTCCTTTTCTATCTCTGTGCTCGTTGTGTCGAAGTAGAAAACGATCGAGCCGTTTCACCGAACGTGTCCACCAGCCTTGGCTAATTTATCCGATAAGAGGTGTATAAATCCCGCGGACAAGGAGCACGAGAGCGGTATGAAAGTTCGCCCGGTTGGTTACACGAGGAAGAGACGAGACGGGAGATGAGGAGAACGTAACACGCGGTTAAACAGAAAAGAATCGAACGCGGAATTAAAAGTATGCGTAGGCACGTCGAGGCGTCGAGCGTCGAGCGTCGAGCGTCCGCGAATGAGAAGTGTCAACGACTGTGGGGTGTAGGTCAGGAAAGAGAGACTCCGTTGATCAAACAATCGATGTCTCTTCCATTAGCTGAGATTTACTTTCCCATTTAGCGACAGTCTGTCATGTATGAAAGTCGCCGCAGGTGACACGACCAGCGTGGTACCCCTCGGGCTACGTATGTAGGTCACTACTATTGTCCCATATTCGCGTTCCCTCCTCTATACTCTTCGTTGTAATTCACTCGGTGCAAAGTCGCGAAAAAGAAAAGGGAAAAAAGTGTATCGAGCTTCACAGAGGAAGAAAACGATCGGGAAAGTTGCATAGATTTGGCCAGGTGTCGTCTCGAATATTATGCAAATGTTGTCGGTGTGTGGTGTACACACCGCGACGATTTACGACCGCAGAAAAGACAAAGTAAGGAATAGAAGCGGCGAGGTGTGAAAACGAGACCGCGGGGCCGCAATCTGTTTTCTGGACGAGCGACCAAAGAAGGCGAAAGGAACTCTCGTTAGAGCGAGAAAGACAGACGGAGAATAATGACATAGAAGAAGAGAGACGGAGAGAGAGAGAGAGAGAGAGAGGGAAAAAGCAAATGCACGAGGGTTTTCCGCTCGTTGAACGTAACACGCACCGCTTTGCCACGATCCAGCGATTCGCGCGTACCGCGCAAACCGGCGAATTGCGCAACGAGCTTCTTCTCTTTCTCAATCGTGCGATCGATTGTGGGCGCACGGGAGGAACTTTTGCATTGTGATTTTGTCGAACGTTTGAAATATCGCCGTTACGCGACATTATACACCCGCGGTTTCGCCATTTAACGTAACGGGAAGCCCGTAATCGTCCGGAGAATTACGAGTATACATACGTACTCTTCTCTCTCTCTCTCTACAGAAGAGAACGTAACGTATGTCTCGTTTTACTTGCCGAGCTGCACAGGGTAGAAAATTAGGTGTAATTTTTTCCCACCAGTTTTTGACGCGACGAATTCAACGGAGGCTATTATCTCTCTGTTGCAGATGAATCAACAGTGCAAGGTGTGCGGCGAGCCCGCGGCCGGCTTCCACTTTGGCGCGTTCACCTGCGAGGGCTGCAAGGTGAGTCTTTCACGGATCGTTTTAACCACCGATACATGCTGCAGGTTTCTCGGAAGTTTGATGGGCAGCAGATAGTAATCGAATCGAAACGGAGGTGTAATATCGGTCGTATACACGACGATAATTGAAAGGCAACCAGAGGTGTTGCGATACGGTTGCAATATAGACGTCGATCTTGATGATTTCTCTCGGTTTTGCTTCGAACCCACGCTGTTCTTTTTTTCTTTTCTTTCTTCCTGCACACCGTTGGTCAGCGATCTTTTCCACAGTTTCGCAAAAGCCGAGAAACACCGTGATCGCTTTCACGAGCCGCTTCGCGGCCGAGGTTAAACGTTTGACTAGGCATGCGTGTCAACCGAGTCCCGAAAGTAACGGCGACCATGTTTGGCGAACCGCCGAGCGGGACGCTGTGCAAGGAGAGCCGATATTTCTAGCTTCAAAGGGCGCGCAGACTTTCGAGGTGTAGCCGATCGTTCGGACTGATTTCTCCTGTTTAAAATGATCCACGCGATCATTTATGCGAAAGATTCCGTTCGCGTGCGCCTTGAAATGATAATTAGTCTCGGAAAAGAAAGAAGAAAAAAGACTTCTCTTCTATATACAGTATCACTGTCGCGATTGTTAAGAGAATATCTCGAAAGAGGAGTTGAATAGGGAACGACACGCGGTCGAAATCGTACTACAAACGGGGTCTGCCGCGAGTCGAGCGTAAAAGCAAACGATGCCAGAGAGGAACAGTAGAAGGGGGGGAGCTGACATGCTACGGTGGGCCTGAAAACGAAAATAACGATACGAAACAATGTCGAGCTGACGTAATGGTGAACTAGGGCGGAAACAATTGTGGCAGACAAGTGCGAAGCGCCGGAAGCACCGCCTCGAAGCCGCTCCGTGATCCGAACGAATTGACGAAACGCGGCGTGTGCACGTGCTCGCGCGGCCACAATGTCTTCCACGCAGATCTGTCCCACGATCTCCAGACACACGCACACACCCACGCACGCATCGTTCGCAATCACTCTACGCAAAACTCGACTCCCGCTCTGATCCATCGATCGAAGCCGCGGCTTATCGAATCGCGTGAAAAAACGGGGGGAACCATTTAGAAACGATACAATGGTTCATTATCGTCGTCCATTCAGAATGAAATTCAACCTCCGTTGTTCTTCCTCCTCTTTTTCATTTTTTCTTTTTTTTTCTTCTTCTTTCTTTCTTTTTCCGCCGCGTGAGTCAGAGATACGTTTCTTTAGGCCAGGAAAGTTCAGCGTGGCGTAATTAGCCGGTCTACTTATCGAGCCAGTTTTCGAAAGGAAACCACAATTCAGAGCGGTGGAAGCGGTGGACAATTCAGCGAGGATGAAAAGCGTCACTTTGACGTTTCGAACTTTTGCATAACACGAACGCGAGCGTGTAATAACGCTAGCGTTTTCTCGATTGTGTCATCGCTCCTGAAGCGTCGCGGGCATTCCCGCGCAGTTCTCGGCTACCCTTCTCCCCTTCTTCTAAACGAACCTTTAGACCAGCAACGGACTGCGTTACCCAGGTTGGAGACACGTAAACTGCAAAGACACAAGTGGAACACAGCGCAGCGGTGGCGGGAGACCGTGGGTCTCGGCGAAGCGCGCATCGGGACCACTGGGCCGCAGGAAGAGCTCGTTTTCGGACCAAACGAACCAGAAACGATTAATAACATAGCGTGTATGCGGACAGAAAAAAAGCGAAAGTGGACGTCGCGTACACACAAACGTAGCCTAGTGTCTCTTTAAAGGCCGATCATTAGTCGCGAAGGGCGAAATTTCCTATCGCGTTGGACAGGAAACGGGTAGGTGTTGTCGGGGGGCGCGCAATACACGAGACTCGAGACTGTTAAATGCATATGTAACGTTCGAGGCTGTTTTCTCCATGTCTGTTATAAAGAATCGAGGTCTTAAATTGCACGCGTCTCGTAAGACGTTCGCATAGACGTACCCGGTCGGTTTCTCGGGATAAATTAACGCGTAACGATTCGACCGCGGTTAGAGAGGGATTTTTCGGCGGACCCGTGCAATCGATTCGAACGCATCGAGGAGAAACATTCGAGAGAGTAGGCAGGCACGTGTAAACGAGAGGGGACCACGGGTGACTCGAACGCGAAAGCCGGAGCCGGAGCCGGTGCCGGTGTCGGAATCGTGGAATTGCACCATTTGGGCAATTAGCACGAGCACAGTAGGCCGCACGCGCCTACACCGGTCGGCTCCCCGCTGTACAACATGAATGAGACAACGAGAGCACACTATTACCGGCTAACGACTTTGCCGTACTCATTATGAGCGGCACAATGCCGTTGCAGGCCGCAGCGGATCTCCCAGCGAATCTTTCAGCTCTCAATTTGCATTTAAAGAGCGTTCTAGATTTTGTCTCCCTTTGTAGTCCTCAGCTGAGGCTTGATTCCTTCTCCAGCCGTAATTAACGCGAATAAAAGTTATCGCATCGGCAATAACAGAAATATTCTCTTCTCTCTGTTACAGTCGTTCTTCGGCAGATCTTACAACAACCTGAGCAGCATCTCCGAGTGCAAGAACGGCGGAGAGTGCGTGATCAACAAGAAGAACCGGACAGCCTGCAAGGCTTGTCGTTTGAGGAAATGCTTGCTCGTCGGAATGTCGAAATCTGGCTCGAGATACGGTCGTAGATCTAACTGGTTCAAGATTCACTGTTTACTGCAAGAACAACAGCAGCAGCAGCAACAACAGCAACACTACCAACAGAATCTTCCTAACCAACAAATGGCGCAGCAACGAAAACCGATGAGCCCGCCGATCGGTATCCATACCGGTCAACGAAAGGACGATGTGCTGATGCTCGGTTTGGACGACTATAAAAATTCCACCTCACCCAGCATCAGTTCACCGGAATCTCATAACAGCGACAGTTCCGTGGAAATCTCCGAGAGAAGGGCAGCTTTCTCGGGTCATCCAGGATTCAGACCGCTGCACTCTCACTTGCAACCTTCCGTAGCTGACTTGTCAGCTCTCAGCAAAGAGATGATGAGTCTACCGCTTGGATTCCACCTAGGAGGCATGTCTCTGATCCCACCAGCTTTTCTACCACCGCCAAGTCTCACCATGTTCTCCCCTTATCACCTGTACGCGACGTCGCACGGAACGACTCATCCGTTGGTACCCAATCATCCCACGAATCTGCTTCGACATTCGCCCGCGATGGAAGACACGAGTGCAGTCACCGCTACAACCACCACCACCACCACCAACACTATCACCATGGATACCAAGGATTCCTGTGGAAACAACAACAATAACAACAACAACAATAATAACAACAACAATAACAATAATAACAACAACGACAGATACGTTCATAACAACAACGTGCAAACGACGAGGCAGAGTGTCTCTCCTAACGCGGAGACAGGTGAAACGTACACCAAGCGGTTTTATTTGGACGCTGTATTGAAGAGTCAACGAACACACGCGGAAGGTTCGCCAGCTGGATCGGTGAAGGAACATTCCGAAGGCGGTTCGCCATTATGCAGCCCGGAACCGGAAACGGACTGTCCGCCACCTCAGGACAACCCGATGGATTTATCCATGAAGTCAGCCGCGACTTCCGCGAGCGACGAAACGGAAGAGGACGAAATTGATATGGAGAGCGTGAGCGATCGGGACAGTCCTCCGTTGAAGAGGAAATCGGCGCCTATAGATCTAACGACGAGATCTTAGTTGGACGAGAAGGACGTTAGAAGGTTCTCGATAAATTGAATTGTCGTTTTGTTTGCACAAAGTCGAACGGGGGGGGAATAATTGGCTGCACGCGTGGAAAGTGTAGTTAGTCGGATGCGCGGCCGGTTGCCTAATACGGCTCGTGAGAAAGGGACGCGTGATATCGTAATCAATTACGATTCCCTTATTTCCCCAACCGGTACGCGCGTTTGCCTCTGTGTGTCAGTCGAGAAGAGACACGGCCGTTCGTAAGGAACGAGCAACATTCCCAGAACCCGTACATTATCTCTAATTGAGCTCCCGGTCTCGAGCAGGAATTACCGGATCAGGCCAGACCCGAGATCGGTTCGCGCGGAGACAAATCATTCGCGCGCCAAATCGTTAAACGCAATTCTCGCGCCACCGCGCTGTAATCACGCATAAATATCCGCGCCGGTTGGACGAATGAAGGATTAACGTCTCAATTCCGGGTAATCAAGGCGAGGATCGGCGCGAGCCCGCCGCCGATCGATGGCTGGTTGCGCAAAAGCCAATCGACTTTAACGAGAGTCCTCCGCTTTAATTAACGAGCGCGCGCGGTAATCACGCGGGAGAGAAAGAGAGAGAGAGAGAGAGAGAGCAGCGCGGTTGCAAACCGTGGTGCATCGGTTGATAAACACGTCAAACTGCGGGGTGCACGTGTTCGGAACGTGCGTTACAAACCGGCGTACACGTGTAGAACGTTGCCAACCGCTTTATCTTACAAGCGTTCGACGCCTGCCAATGTAAACGCCTCCGTCGCTGCCGCTCTGCCTCCTCCTCCTCTTCTCTCCTTTTGTCCCCACACCTATTTATATTTCTCGCGACCGAGGAATCTCTCTCGGACAAGCCGCGTGTTCGCCGGAATCCATGACGAGTCCGGGCGGAACCGCCGCTCGCCACGCAAAATTTCACTCGGGGAATCCTCTATGTACACTCTCGTTTCGACCAAACTTTTCCAACCTCCTCGACGCTGACCCTAGCCTTGTCGAACACAGATTTGCTTTTAGTTAGGTTTGCGCCTGTATCGAGCCCCGATCGGCGCTGTTAGGTGAACGTTGAGAAACTTTCCCGGACCTCTGACCGTGACACGAGTTCGGGAACAATTGCGTTGTATCGGAGAGGATCGTCGTCAAACTTTGTACATACAAATCTGTAAATATAGAGAAACTTAAGTGTACGTGTTTGTTCGTTGTTTTCTGTTAACCGACGACGTTCAATAACGCCGTCGAACGGTGCAGCGAAATGTTATTTTGTTAACGATCATCTACACTTGTGCTTCGTTTAGGTAGGTATATACTTGTTATCGATGATTATCAAGGTAGTCAATAAATGGCCAGTATTTCATACGATGATTGAGTATTGTTGATTGTGTACACTTAGACACCGTTTTCTTTTTTTTTTTTTTTCTTTCGGACACGTGCAATCGTAGCTATTATATACTATTTAATTAGTGTCCCAGTGTACGTGACGTACGTATGGGCGCGACATCGTTTCATTTGTACCGAAGTATCTCAGTTAGGCAAACATAAGGCGGGGATAAAAGTGTAAATAATAGTTAGGCAAGGTTTGCGTGAACGGGACCCGGGCCAGTAAGTACTTACTTGTATATAGCCAGTAGATTATAACGACTTATAAAATTACAATGCTCGAAATAATTAGAAATATTTTTTGATGAAAAAAATTCTAAACACACATGTTGCAACTTGTAGAAAGAAAAATATTGGTTGTAGTATATTTCAATGAATTAATCCCTGATTAGTTCGAGCAGTGTATTTCACGAGTTTAAACAATTATGTAAATCATTGTTCACGAAGGAAAATGAATTACAAATAGAAATACGTTACGATACTCTTAACACGTTACTGAAACTCTAATCAGATGGACATGCCCGTTGCAAAGCCATGCTATTTCACAAGTAAAGTACAAATCTATGAATCCCTGGGCCCTCATATTTTGTAAATATGAATTACTTTAAAAAACAGAAGGAAAAAAAGAAGACACATACAGTTTCACTGCTCCGTTTCTTGCTGGCGTCTCTAGGCTGGGTGGAAACTCTGGCCGATATCGGTAAGAGAGAACACTTCCTTAGCGTTGTTGATGGTGGAACAAACTCGTTGAAGCGATTGTTGTTGCGTGAACCCTGTAACGCAACGACCATTAAATTGTAGAATTAGCGATTCGTTAAAGTTACAGACACCACTCACTGCCACGTTGAACTAGTTAACGCGTGAAACTAGAACGAGCTATTGTACAGAGTTTTTGTACAAAGAATTGCAAATGGTAAGGTTAGCGACAAAGTTGAAGAAATCTGTTAAAAATATACGATTCATTTTCAAATCTCCCGAATGTTATTTTCTTCAATATTTCTATATACTTCGATTTATGTAATTAGAGAGAGAAAAAACACTGGATAATGTCTCCACGAATTCCTGGCGATAATTACGAAAAAATAAAGATTTTACTTTTGATAAAAAAAATATCGACGAACGATCGAAATAATTGTTGTTCTTTTAATCGACTTTCGTGTAGAATGGAAAAGCGCACGAGAAAAAATAATAATACGTAGGACGAAATTGAGAAACCGTTAGGTGCAAAGGTAACGCGGTAAATTCGAACCGGAGAAAAGATGGCCACGCTTGACGTTGCAACGTATATCGACATGAATATTCAACGTAGATGAGACATAAATTCTATTCGCTCGAGAATGCTTATGCATATGCATTTAACGAAGCCTTCGCGAGGAACATTAAAAATTCGCGCTCAAATATCAGTTGCTTTAGGTAGAATGAGTTTTTACGGCTTCGTCTGTTCTGCATATCGAACGCAACGGGCGCCCGTATAGTTCCCCCCGAGAGAGAAAAAATGGCTTGCGCGCCAACCTATGAGAATTTTCGCAATATCTCGTCGAGAACCGCAAATATTACGTGAACAGGGTAGGGTAAAGTCAATATTCTACCTTATTACGCAACGTGCCTGCAAAAACCACGTACATTCACGAATAACCGGCAAATAATCGCGAAAAATTACACGAGCGACACACTACGCGACACCATATTTCGAAAACTAACGAAAAAGGCGGAACGCGGAATTGAAATATGAAAAATCGAACGAACTGGACTATGACGACGTTGGTCATATACCGATCATAAATGTTTCTTTTCAAAATTTTTAAGTACATCGCTCGATTCTCTGTGATTTGCATATTCAGATCAGATAATTTCCTTGTTTTTCGTGCACACCTTTGTCATCTGTATTTCGATATCCATTTTTGAAATTGCATTTCATCGTTACCGATAAACGGTCAACGTATTGCGTAGTTCAGTAACGTCCGAAATTTTCAATCTACCGAAACGTCGCGTTTTATTTTCCCGCGTGAAATGGTGTTTTAATTGGAAATCACGCGTGTGTGTAATTGCTGTTTAGTTAAAAATGTGTCGTGAAATGTAATTGCTTAAGATAAGTGTGTTTTTCTGTGGAATATCGCGAAGAATTCCCGGGTAAGTCTGTAGTAAAAGTTGGAAACGAAGGATACATGCATCGTCGACCGTTGGAAAAATGGAGGGAACAAGGTAAGGAACAAACGTCGAATTTGTTTAAATTGAAGAGAAAGTGTCAAATAATGCTTCGTGTCGCGGGTAAAAATTTCGTGGTATCGCAGTTAATTGGTATACACACGTTGAATTTGTCGCACAGTCGTTCTGTAGTAGAATGAAATTTAAATTTTAACCAAGGATAAGTAGAATCGGTACGTCCTTACTTATCGGACAATACATCCGTGTCATCGGTGACTTTGATAGTCTAATACTTAATTCAGCAGTTCGCATTTTTCCGTGGATTTTCACATTTCACGTTTACTTTCGAACGCGCTACTGTAATACAGATTAGATTTCGAAGTGATTTGTTCACATAGCAATTTAACGTGCGGTTTAACAAGTTCCTTGAGAACCGGCCTGTGCACCGTAGCATATCAAACACTCGTTATGCAGACCACGAAACATCGTTTGGCATACTTTAATTCTGTCGAGAGCCAAAGTCTTTAATTGCAAGCTAATATCGGGTCGATTTCAATTGGCTGCTAATTGACAATAGAAAGGGTAAAATGGTGATTGTACGAAATTTATTCAAATATATTAAAGTTTCGCTCGAAACTGGGATTCATCGTTTATTTTCAATAGCATAAACAATTACATTTTTTCTTCTTATAAAATTATACCCTGTGCATATTCAAAATTTCCTTCATTTATAAATTGAACTATTTGCACTTTTACATTTTTTATTTTTATATTATGCTCACTTATATGAACCATTACTATTCTTAAAGAAATATGCAATCATATTATGTACAAGCTCATGGAATGTTAATGAGATGATTTGGGAACTAGGTGGCTGGGTGTAAAAACTTCATAATCTACCACAGAGAAGTGATAATCTCCCATAAGTACAGTGTTAGAGGCATGTGCACCATCATAGCTATGAGGAAGATTACTGTAACTTTCCATATTCACGTTGCAATTGCTAGAGATTAGTAAATCAGCACCAGCTCCAAAAATTGGTCCAATGCTGTAATAGTAAAAAATTATCGTAACACCTTTGTATATATATATATTTGAAAAATTACTCAGACAACGATATTTACTCTGGATGGTAGCAAATTGCAAAGGGCTTCTTCACAATATCGTATTTGGTTGGAGGTACATCTTGGTTGTTTGTTAGGGTGAATAGGAAAGCTTTTTCTGAGAAAATGTAGTGTCCTTTAGCATTCGTATTTCCCCATGGTGCATCACTAAAGCCTCCACAAATTTCTCCTCGAGTTCCCTAAATGTATTGCACAGATTATTTACCACAGTCTTCAAATCGTACAGTAAAGTTACTTACCAATGCAATTACGTATGTTGGACAAACTCCATCGCAATGGCGGTGAAACAATGTTGCTGAGTAACCATGACTAGAGGCTCTGAGATACATTGATAATTAGCACGTTGCGTTAAGTATGATGCACCTGCGCTAAGTCTACGTGTATCTGTTAAACGTACCGGTATACCAAGCGCCAACTTTGCTTCGGTGATCCGTACCACTGATTCAAAAGACGTTGAAAACCCATCTTATCACGCGATAGAATTTGCGATCCAGGAAAGAGAAACGGGCTTACTCTTGGCTGTAGTCGTTTATCTGCACAGATTTCTGTGTACTTGTTTGGCAAAGCTGCATACCTGTACCTGAAACAAAACGTAAAAATCGAAAGCCTCCAAGAATAACAAAATTTCCCGGCAAACCATACCTTATGGGTTTTGAGCCACTTGATCGATCGGGATTGAAAAATTCGTACCTCTCCAAGGAAAGTTCTATAGGCACTGCTCCCGTTGGTTCTACTTCCTCCGCGAACACCTGGCTGTCGATTAGCAGCAGCCGAACATGATTTATCACTCCTGATAAATGTTGGCAAACCCTCACACGTTCCTCCTCTGTCCAGTGTTGAGTAGGCTGCGTCACCCCTGCCTAGGAGCGTGGTCCGTACGGTTAAGCGTTCCTTAACTCGTAATTCTAAATTCCGATCCAAGAACCTAAGGACCCAAGGACCCGGTAATAATCGTATGCGACATTTGGTCTAAGACCTTGCACGACATACGCACGATCAGAGCGTTAAGTCTGCTTGGAATTTTCAAGGGATTCAAAGTACTCGGAAACGGAATAGAATTTTTAAGGAAAAAAAACCTGATATTTAGCCCAATTTAGTACTGCTCTCCAAACATCTTCTTCCTCCAGTCCCAGGTAGTCCGAAGATATAAGCTTCACTAATGCATCCTTTGGAAGATTACAAAATGCTGTTGTTTTAACTGTATCGACAGCATTTTCCCCGATAAATGCAAAGCATCTCTCAATGAAAGAGGCACAAGCTCCTTTGCCACCTGTGGTGAGAAAAGAAATTTAATTAACAATATATTCTGTATGGATTGAAACATCAGACAACTTCTAGGAATGTTAATGTTTTTATTGAAATTTGTCTGCTGATTTACTATAATTAGTTATCTTAGGTGCTTAATAAAACTAGAAATATACAAATAAAACATAGATCTTGATTCAAAAATATTTATTAAATGTATATCCAGATGTATATCTATTACATTAATTGCTCAAGCATGTATTTACACTTGCAGTTATTGTTAATGATAAACAGTGGTACAAAATTGGATGCAATTTAAGACCATTCACATTAAAGAGACATACATCGCACAGTTTCTCATTCTTAGAAATACAAATTTTGTTAACATCTGAGTGTTCTCTAAACCCTCTGAGAAAATTATTCTATCTTAAGATTATAATAACAAAGATGTTTTTCTTCTTTTTCAATAAAGTATAATGTCATTTCAACACGACAATAGTATCTTCAGTTATAACTAGCAGTGTGTATTCTGTTATTGTTTATCTGCATTACTTCGATTTGCACGTCACGTATACAACCTTCAAGGTATCAACTTTATCTCCGTTAAATATTGTTCTTTAAGTTACTTCTTCTAGCGTGTTGTTTACACACGTGACGTCCACGCACATAATTCTCGCGCGAGATATACAACAATGCGCTTTTTTCGTTTGTCCTAGAACGTCCTCCGAGGTTATGTTTCGACATTATTAATTCGCTCCTGGATTTGTGTTTTGTATCAATGTTATATTGTCGCCTTTCAACATAATCCGTCCGAGCGGTTTCCTGTTTTTCGTCTTCAAATGATACTCCTCGGCATCGTCCAGTACCAAATTCATATATTCGTCGAATCCAACGATATGACCCTCGATTCGTAGGTTTATGTTCTCGAATAACCAAACTTGCACGCGCGAACGATTTTGTAGGTATCGAAATATAAGGTTGATGGGTTGTACCATCACCTTTTGAACTTTCTGCGGCCCCTTGTACGACATTTTTGTGATGATTTTGAAAAATTAGTTAAGCAACGTTTGATAAACGCGTGCTCAATAATAGCCAGACGCCGGAAGATGTGGCGTCGTAGTTATGCCAACCGTTACATCCCATATTTCCCTATCACTTTCTTTACGCTCAAATAACTCGAACGTTAAACCATTTTAAAAATAATTACAACACGTACGAACAGTGAAAGAAAATTGTAATCTTTTTAAAAATTCGAATTTATCATTTTTAACGCATTTAACGAATCAGTAATAAGGATAAAACTTTGAGTATTGGTATCACTGATTCGTAAATTCCCCGTATACGTGCTGCCTCGGTGGCAAGCATTTCAATTATGCTACAATGTGCACGGTCGATAACTACTCATGTACCCGTGCAACTTTTTCCACACAAAATAGTAGATTAATTAATATTCTTACCTGGTGCATAAAACATATAATTTAAATTATTTATATGCGTATTATTTTAAATTATCATTCGTTAAAGGTAATTGAGGGATAATAACAAAGTGTGCAGACAAGCCAGTCAATGATATATTTATAATACTTCAGTATTCTTAATTATCAAGAAACTCTTTCCTATTCGACAAGTGTATTTTACACTTGTCATCAGCAAGAAGTGTAAACGTTTCTCGAGGATTGATAATTTTAATCGTCATCGCTGAGCAAAGTGCATCTCGGTAATCTCGAGAATGGATCTATTTCGATGGCAAAACTTTTAATAGCATGTCATGAATAACTTACCGGGAACCCGCTCTTGGGCATCCAGAGCCGCAGTCAAAAGAGCACACGCGTTTCCGGGGCTGAGAGTGGCGGAGACGTGTTCCTCGCAACTTCTCCAAAGTTCCTCAACTCCGAGTTCTTGGGCGAGTCCTAGCATCTCGAAAATCCCACTGTCTTGCAGCATGATCTATGGAAAAGTTATAGGATGGAAACTCGGCCGTGATTCTGGGTCAACGTGAAACTTTTATGGTCGGTTTCGGTGATAAACTTGAAGAAAAGCATCGAGACCGACAATCGTTTACCTTGCCCGTATAAATATAATGAATGAACTGTCGAAACGTCTCTGGATGAGCGTGCGGCATACGAACTGGCGTCGGATTTCCAGGTGTTCCGATCCTCTTCGCGGCTGTGAAGTTCTTGCACCTGAGAAATCAATCCGTTCGTATCGATTTTTAATTACAACGATACAGGATAGAGAAAGAGAGAGGGAGCTTTGAGTCGCAAGGAGAGTAAATGTAGTCTGTGGGTGCGTGGACGTTCTAACAAACACCCACCACTTCACCTTTCGTCACCTCCGCTCCTACTTCTGGCAGTGTTTCTTGTTACAAAAGGGCTTAATTGACTTCGTCAGGAAGCTCCGTTGCCACAAGAGTGTTCGCAACGTACGCAGCCGGGCTTTAGTTTTCGTTCCTCTAGAAATTAATGGCAACCTTCGAAAACTCACTTCTCACCCTTTTTTTTTTCCCTACGGCGTGGCACGGGAGAAGAACGCGCGAAAGAACAAATCTTTTCTGGCACTTGGAGCTGAAAGCGGGGATCCCCCATGACCCATTGGGAGAACATTCGCCTACACGCTGCGACTAGATACACAAAAGGGAGGCTTTTAATATCGACGAGTCTAGAAACGAACAAGTATCCCTTTCCTTTTCTGTTTCGTTCCTGAATCGTCGACGAGTTTTGTACCGTCCCTTACTGCACATAAAAGCTTCCGTGTATTCTTCAATTTGTTTACCTTCCACGGGGATCTTTGTGTATCGTATTTTCCACGAAACCGTTCGTCTTAATTTCGAGATCAACGAAAAGGAGAAGGTTCCAGTAGCTAGTGTTTCGATTATGAATCGCACTTAAGAAACAGCGCGGAATTGAAAGAGACGCGGAGAAAGACGAGAGAGAGAGGGGTGTAAGAGTTGAAGACAGAAAAGGCAGACAAAATCCTTAAACGAGCTCTTTGGATCCACTGAAGACACTGATGACGGAAACGACCACCGCGGCATCTAATACCACTAAGCCGTGTACCGTAAAAAGATTTTCGTGTGCTAGAAACGAAGAGGTCGCGGTACGAGTTTTCCAAGGGGGTAAAGCGTGCACACCGGCGGCGTCCGTATCGAATCAAAAGAAAATCCGTCAAAGAGCCGGCGCAAATGGAAAAGGCATGCACGGTGGTGCTTTGATATTATAACCGACGCGTTAACAAACGCTCGGCTTCGTCGACAGGAGAGCGCGAACGTTGGAAAATCGCGGGGCCGAACCACGAAACATGGTTGCCCGGAGAGAGAGAGAGAGAGAGAGGAAAACTAGTGCTCAAAAAAATTAAAAACATACAGGGTAGGCAAAGTTGTACGCGCGCGCGCGCGCGGCTGTAGCCCTTGCCGCGGGTCGACTTTTAACGGACCGAAAAAACCTCGACTTTTATGCTTTCACGTGTGGTTCGGAAGCGATGTGGCCGGTGGCGTAATATCAAAGCGATAGTCCGCGCGCATTTATTTCCGCAAATTAGAGGGAAATATGGCGCGGCTATCGAGGATCGCACGCGCCATGTAACACGCCTCTAAATCAAATGACCGAATCGATCCTGCGTAATGCTAGAGAGAATCCAACCACGTTCTTCTGGTACACACTTTCTTTCTCGTCCAATCCCTTTACTCGCGTAAAAGAATTCGGCAATTCGGATTAAAGACACGGGCGATATCGTTGCACAAAACCGGCACGGTTCCCGGGCAAAGAAATGAGAAAAGAAAAAAAAAAAGAGAAAGAATATTCGGAAGAGAAATAAAAAGGTAGCAGCGGGGTAGTGGTGGTAGGTTGGTTGGTTGCCGCGTGATGGATGGTACTCTGAACGGTGGCGAGGAGAAGTGAAGGAAGGAAAGAAAGAAAGCGCGGAGAGAAGGTGAAGAGGGGGATAGAGAAAAGGGGTGAAAAACCAGAACGAAGTCGTTCCCGGAGAGAAGCTTTTCCCTAATCACAGGCGAACGCCGCAGCGGAATCAAAGAAAACCAAATATCAGCGAGTGACGCCGAGGAAAGAATAGGGCACGGTGCGCGCGTCTGGTGTGACGACGAGGTGTCACGGGGGTGGTAACGTAGGTTCACGAGCTCGACGTGGAAAGAGGATGTTAGTAAGGGGGTAGGGGGCCTAGTGGCGGTAGCGGGAAACGAGGGTCGTGGCTGCTTGGTTTCACGGCGGCAAGGGTTGAATGTCGCCGCGGGCTCCGCTACTAACGACCAAGCGTGCGATTATATAGCGGCTCCGTCGATCTCCGCGCAAAAACCGCCTCCGCTTCCGGTGCACCAGAGTCAAATTCGCGCCGCACCTCCTCTCGTTTCGCCGGTGAAACGCCCGCCTCTCTCTCTTCTCTACGTACGCGGTCCATTATCGGGATATCGTGCCTTAGACTCGCGGCAGATTCAAATGTGTAGCATTGTCGTCGAATGCATAATTACTAGGCGAAAGTGTGCCGATAACGAACTGCGCGCTCCTTTTTTCTTCAATTGAAAATCCATCTTCCCGCGGAACGGGGAGAATTGCGAGGGAATCGGGCGAAAATTTAGATCTCGTTGATTGTGCTCTTTACCTCATTTCCTTAAATCCTTCTGATCGCTTTCGGATCGAACGGATGCTCTCGATTGTAATCCCGTTTATTTCTACGCCGTCGATTAACGCAACGTCGATTCTTCGAATGGAAAGGATAAGTGGGTACATGCTACTTGATATATTAATAGCGATCAGTTGCACGCGGAGAGGAACCGATAGGAACGACGGGATTAAGTTGGAGAGTGGCATCGAACGCCAACGAAGCTTCAGCTTGTTTTCCAATTTCTCTTTTCTACCGTTGTCAAACATCGTTCTCATCTGCGTCGCATTTCGAGATGACAAGGACTGCGAGGAGAGATAGAGAGGAGGAGCGGTGGAACGATGGTCACGACTCTTTGTCAGGATTTTCACCGGACTGGAGAGCATCGCGTAGAGTTTTGAGTGCGGTCGCGTATTGTCCATTCGTTTCTCCTACGGACGCCTGTCACGAGCATGCGTAACTTAATTTTCCGAGGCCGTTGTCGACGAAGCGGGGCATACAGAGAAATAAAGAGAGAGGGCCGATGACAAAAGGACCGACGTTCCCTTCCACGCCCCGATATCAAAAGGGTTCACGGGAAGATCGTAATTGACTTTACAATTAGCATCGAGTCTATCCAGCGGAATGTCGTTGCTTGGATCCTGAGGCCTCTTCACCTAATAACAAACCAACCTCTTCTTACAACAATTAGAATTCTCTCGAGTGAAAACACCACCTCTAGATACCCAGCACTAGCTACGGACGAATCGTCAATTCGAGAGAAAAACAGAGAGAAGAAGAGAGAGAGAGGGAGAGAATGCTCTTCTTTTATTGTCCAACTAATTAGAACGTTCGATCGATTCATTTCACCGTAACAATCGGAGGCCCTTAATTAAAATTCATCGCCACCGCGAACTCCTCCTCTCCGTTCCTCTCCCCTACAATTCGCTGGCGAAGAAACTTTGATGACTTGGCGATTTTTCACCCCGGAACTCGTTCGTTCCACCAAGAATTTTCATAAAATCCCGCCTGATCGAGCGTTGTTTCGCGACTGGATTGCCCTTCCGGCCGGATACCCTTTCTCCTCTGTTCCGGAACGGAAACAGAAGGAGGGACGCCGTAAAGCGTGCACCAGGAATAGGTGAATTATGTATAGGCTCCTCCGGTGACTTGGAGAATTTAACGAAGTTATCATTTCCCTGCCGTTGGGTTCGTTTGCAATTCCGTCGGAAAGTTTACTCCAGCCATTCTTCTCTCTTTCGTTTTCTTTCTTTTTTTTTTTCTCTCCTCTCTGCCATCGTCTCTGTCCCCTCCGCAGTTACTCTCGCGCCATCGCTCGTTTCGCAGTGAGAGAAAAGTTCGTAACGCAGTTACCACGAACTAAGTTGCTCCATCGAGGAGATCCTAAGGGTAGTCGACCTGGAAGTCGCGAGCTAGCTAAAGTATACCGCTAACCGAAAATATTTTCGAACACCAGCCTCGGTGTTTCGTTATGCGACGTACGTCTCTCCATTTACATTGCAAAAAGTACGACGAAGGATAAGGCGGCGTAACGGCCCACGTTCCGACGTTAATTCACCATTTTCTGGAAGACGGCGAGACCCATTGTCTCCAACTTTTCTTTCTCATTTTTTTCTCTCTCCCTCCAACGGTGAGTTTCGCTCGTTGAAAACGCGCAACCGTGTGTCTCTCCCCCGTGTTTCAAATACACTCTCCCACATGATTCGTCTCCCGCGCGATTTCCCGCGTGTGTTCCTGCGGATCGTTTCTCGGGAGTCTCCGAGGAAATACGAGCGGCACGGCTGCGGATCGATCGACGCGAGACGAGAGCTGTTTTAATAAAAATTACGATTAACAATTAATTCGGTCCCAGGATGCATCGTTCGCGGCGGTGTTCGAGCTTAATAAAATTTCTGGCTTGGCTTGCTCCGTTCGCGGGAACGCGACGAGTTTGTTGCGATCCCTCGAGGCGTTGAAAGATATCGGGAGGAAAGGAAAATAATATAAATTGTCTCATTGTTGATGGTTACCGGTTGAAATGTTCCCCCATCGAAACGATAGGACACATACAGCGATACATGCGTGTGTGTGTGTGTGTGATATTAATTCGGCGATTATTCGAGGAAACACCTCGATGAGAAGGAATGGAGCTATTCGAGAGTACTGACCTCGCTTGAAGGATAATTCTGTGAGCGTACACCGGCGTCTCGTCTCTTCCTAGCAGAAAGGCGATGTCAGCTGTATCTTTGTCCTCGGAAAGACGAGCCAGGTCCTCCAGAAGTCTGGGTACACCCGCTAAACCTGCCTCCCCGGATACTCCTGCTGCTCCTGGTGCCGCCCCCACGGCGACGGCTCTGGTTCCCATGACGTTTGAAACGAAATCACCAACTGTGTGGGCAATAGGGTGGAATGTTGGTTAATGAAACGGGGAATTGTTTTCTACGCTGTTGTGGAAGGAGGGTTTCTTGTGTTGGGTATTCAGCAGCTGCTGACGTCTTAACGTTTTTCTAAGACAGTATTAACGAAAGGATTTCGATAATATTTGGTTCGCTTACGAGCAGGCTCTTTAGTTCTGACAAACTTTTTGAAAGCCACATTCGTTACTGTTAAGAAATTATACACGAGACTCGCAGTACTTATACAATACTTATCTGTATTGCATTAGCACTTTTTTAAAATTAGAATAGAAAATTCTATTCTTTTCGTAATGTTCAAAAATATAATTGAAGATCTTGTATTAACAACGAAAAATAGAGTACTAGCATCTCGACAACTTCGATCAGATCCTCGTTCTCGCTCCAATCTATTCAAAATTCAACTCAACAGCCTCCATTTCGCACCAAAATCTTAATTGCTTCCCCATCGACGAATCACGCCAGATTACTCGTGTTGAAAAAACCAAACTTCATTTTCATCGTCTTCCGACGAATAATCCCCGGCAAATCGCGCGACTTTTTCTCATTAACCCCGAAACGAACAAGCCAATTAAGACGGCAACAGCTACCGACGTGGCCTGATGTACGGCGGCGCGTTGCTCGCGCGTTAAACCGATCGCGCGGGAGAGTTGGTGCGAGCAATTTGCGATAATCCGAAATTAATGGGGCCGCGAACAGGAATAAACCCGTGACTGATGACAGGGAGAGGGTGTGAATGGCGGGCAGCCGCGTGTGTCATCGTCTCAAACGCTTTCCGGTCGCATCCGCGTTACCGGTTGACGAGCGCGTCGAGGGCAAAGGAAGGGAAAAAAAGCAAAACCGATTAACGTACAATCGGCGCTAATTGCGCGATTAATATTTGATTTGCACCGCGTCGCGACGCGACGCGCCGTCTCCCTCTCTCTCTTTCTCTTTTTCACTCTCTCGCACACTCTGTGTTCAGTCGCGACCGGTCGATCGACGCGGAGGATTTTGTGTCACGGTGGTTCGTTGATTTCCTTTTAATTAGTTCGGGTTTTGTAGTTTTGGAGCGCGTGACGCGCCTCGAACACGTCGCGATTCCCGGTCATTTGCCCTCCCCGGAGATTTCCTCGCAAGCGTCGCATCGTACCGACTGTGATTCGATTAAAAATCCATCCGACGACGGAGGTTTTGTTTACTCCCATCTGCTCAGCATTTCGCGCGTTGAAAAATTTATTAACGACCTCGAGGTTCCTTCCAACGAATTTTCAATCGATTCGATCGCGCGCGATTCAAATATTCATGTAAATCGTGTCCACTGTATAAAAAAAAATTCGATTTTCCCTTACGACGATCCAGTGTAATTTCTACGAGTATATATTCGATTCCTCTGGTTACAATTTTTCGCCCGCAGGATTTTCGGCGAGAAAATCGCCGCACGTTCGGTCACGAATCGCGCACAAACCACTACTGCTGGTACTCGCCGTGTTTATTTTGAATTTACCTGTCCCGATCGGTCCCGGCACCTTTCAATATCGTCCAGCGTATAAATAAACACTCGCCTACCCGTATGAATCGCGCGAAAAACTGTAACGATCGTTCAACACCATTTCGAGAATCATCCAACGGATATAGAGCGTGCTCCTTTTCACAAACGAGAAGGATAGAGAAGAGGGGAAAAGAGACAGGCGATACACCGGTGGAAATGAAGAAAGCTCACCTGAGGAATCGCGGTTTGCGAGTCGCCTCTCACCTTTCCGTGGTCGACGCGAGCGAACGATTCCCGTGGAACGTTCGAAAGAGGAGGAGGTCTAAGCGAGCCGCGGCGTGCAGAAGCGTTGTTTCCGTGGCACACGTGGACGAGTATTATGTTCGCACGCGAAACACTGCATTTTCAGCCGATCCACGGGCACCTCACACTCCCACGGGGCGAAACATTGTTCCTTGGAAAACTTTCCTCCTCGTATCTCTCTCTCTCTCTCTCTGTACCTCTTTCTCCTCTGGATCTCGTTGTTCTGCTACGCGTGAATCGCGGTGCCGTTGGTCCCGCGAGTATCGCACATGAGAAAATCCGTGACGAAGGTGGAGGAAAACGGTCTACCGGAAGTTTCGTGGTACGCACTACGTGTTTCTCCAGCACGAGACGAGTTTTACGAGCGCTGGACCAGGCCTGGCCGCAAGTCCCGCCGCCTTCTTCAGCCCTTCTCTTCTCATTCTCTCCGCCGTGGGCTCAGGTGAGGCTGTGGTTACCTCTTTCCTCCAACGCCGCTTCCCTCCTTTCTTCTCGTTCTCGCGTGGCCAATGCTCCTGCAAGATCACTCCTCCTCCGGCCCGTTGTTGCCAGATCCTCTCTGGAGCACCGATCGCACGATCAAAAAGGATACACACACGCGCTGCCTCATTCCAGCTAGCAACGAATCCTCGTCTAACTCTCGCCTCTCTCGATCCCACGTAGATCCTCACTTTTTCACTCTCCTTTTCACCTTCTCGTCCTCGCTGTTTATCCACATTCCGCGCTCTTTGTTCTTCTTAAATCGCGGGGCAAAAGCAAGATCCACTTACTCCTGCGCTCCTCTCTCTCTCTCGTTTTTTCTCCGTGCTTCTGTTTGCCGTCTCTATCTATCCCTCGTATGTCTATCCTCGTGGCGTCCCTTGTTTTCGAGACGGGTTTCCACCGGTGGTTTTGCTCGGTCGCACGATATTGCCGCAATGCGGTGCTTCCTAGTTTTCCCCGACAAAATGAGATCGCCCTTTTATCTACATCGCTCTACGGA